CATGGCAATGAGCGACTGCAGTCGCCAAGTGGTCTGGGTTCGCAATCTACTTGCTGAACTTGACTACCATGTCGATCACATACCTCTATCCGGAGACAATCAAGGATCGATCTTTATTGCATCGAATCCTGTGACGGAGTCAAGGTCAAAGCACATTGACATCCGGTATCACTATATCCGTGAGGTACATGATAAAGGAATCGTTGATGTCTTCTATATAGACGGAAACGACAATCCTGCAGACATCTTTACCAAGAACCTTGGTGTAGTGAAGTTCTTGAAATTTCGCTCACAACTTGGTCTCCGCTTCCCAAAGTCCAGAGCTGCTTAAAGCGCCTGCTACGCTTGCGTAACCATTCGGATACTTAGCGAGGGGGAGTGTTGAACAGGCGCTGGTTTACACAGCTTGCCTAATCCAGCCGTCACAAGATATGGAACGGCGCAGCTGGTTACTGCAATAACCGAGGCTGTACTTGTTGAACCCGGGGGGCGAAGGCCTCTCCCACGGGTGGCAACGACAGCGGATAGCCTGCAACTCACCTAGAAGGGTTGTTGGTTGTAAGAGGCTTGTTAGAGCGATGAGAGGAGATGTTCGAGTGAACTGAACTCTAGATTGGGGGTACAGAGGTCCCCTATATATACTACTGTACATCTGTGGCTACATAGTACTATACAGTACATTCCCAGGATGCACAGTCGCACAGAGAAGCAGTGCGTACACAGCGAAGCTGTGTGTGTACCACATGAGTAGTACAGCCTCGGTTATTGCAGTAACCGGCTGTGCCGTTCCATATCTTGTGACGGCTGGATTAGGCAAGCTGTGTAAACCAGCGCCTGTTCAACAAGTCTGAGGCAGGGAACCTCAGACTTGATCTTCTCGTCGATCCCCCATCTCCTCTGTAGGTAGCTAGCAGCCCTACCTTCTACTTCCCCTTCTAGTCTAGGGAATGCACCTCTTCACATCTCTTGCTGTGTCACCTCTGATTGCTTCGCTTCTCAGCACCAACCTCTGCATCAGTAAGCTTTGCCCTTGTTTGTTTTGGTGGCACAGCTCGTTGGCTGTGACATTAGCGCCTTAATCCACTTAGCTCTCCCACGCATATCTTCCAGCTGCTCACCCTCGACTGTGTAAAACATGCGGCATACGTGCCAATGATTGAGCAGAGCAGAGTGAGAGACCTGTTGGAACCTGTGCAGACATTGTGACAGAGGCTGGCACACCCGACGACGGTGCATAACGTTGTCGCACTCGCCCGTCTTAATCGTCTTAATGCGTCTTAATTGAGCATCTTAATGCTTACGTCTTAGACGGTCTTAAAGCCATCTTAAGCGCCTTAATGCCCTTAAAGGCGATTTTAAGGGGCATTAAGTGATTCCCAGGTTTACTGATCAGTGACTGATTGCCCAGTACTATGCAAAGGAAGACCATTATATCTCTCTGGGGTGGGCAGCTTCGGAGAACGCACAGCGTTCTGTCACATCAACTCTGTGCCTTAGATCTGAATGTCGGAGGGGAGTGTGCCACACGATTCTGGAAGACAACTGCACAGGTGCACAAGGCATTCTGTCGCGGCGACTAGGCGCGTAGACTCGGGTCGACGTTCAGCGATGACTCCGCAGGCGAGTGGCAAGGAGCCGAAAGGGAAAAGAGAGAGGGAGAGGGATAAACGTGACAGAAAACTCGACGAGGGCAGAGCGGAGGTCAGCACGAAGGCACGAGACCTACGAAAGCTAGTCTTCACGCAGGCAGCGACAGACTAGTCCCAATGACCAAGTTATACATTAGCAATCAGAGAGAGATACAACACTATGGTCACTCACCTAGTCCCAATGACCAAGAGGTCGAGATGGGGACTAGGGAGTGCCTAAGGGGGTCCTTATATACTAGAGGGGCTGCTTAGCAACCAAGGACAAGGCGCGAGAGCGAGGCAGTGAAGATGACAAAGAGAGAACAAAGGGCGAGAAAGAAAAGGTAAAGGCATGGCGATCACAGGAACGTAGCATGCGGGTGTGGGAATGTATCTACAATGTCCAAACTGGGATGAGCTGGGAAAGGAAATGGTCCAAAAATGGAAGGTGGGCGTCAAAGGGAAGGGAATGGGCGGCAAAAAGGGGTGTCTGTCCAACGTCCGTGACACATTCCATATAGCTAGTTCAGCGACACACATTCATCAAGGAGCTTGCGTGACCTGCTCGAGCATCTGTGTTTACGGTTCCATCAGCTGAGTACATGATAAATACTAGGTGTGATTGAGAGAGAACGGTAGCCCCTTGATAGGATTCACGGCTTCAGCTCTACAGCTACCCGACTGACTCTACACCTGGCGAATCCTGGGGAATTCCTGCGCTCCCATATTCCGCAAAATGACAGACATATCGCTTGACAGAGTAGGTACCTCGTTGGATTTGCTTGCTCCTGTATTCAAGCACGTATTCTGTAGGCGTTGTTTGTCGCGCTTTGGGTATGTAACGATCCTGTTTATCTTCATTCGACCTGAGGTTGCCTGACTTGCTAACTGGGGCATCAAGGTTGAAACCATGTTATATGGTATGTATCTGATTGTTGAGGACCCGAAAACTAGCATGACCTATGAAGATTGTTTTACATGTTGAATAGGTTTATATTTTGTCTTATTCTCTATCTGCGTCTACATTCTCTTTTACAAAAAGGGGAAGAATTCTCCACTCAACAAGCCACTGATTGCGACTACCATCACCTTATTCATCATGTGCACCACTCATATTGTGGTGGATTTTGTGCGGGGATGGAAGGCCTTCTTCAACTCGCCTATGTCCCCACTGGATTACTATGTGCGAATCTGGGACCCCTTGAACATTTTCAAGCAAGCTCTGTACGCGACCAATAAGTACGTTGACCTGCAATTTCCTCTTTATGAACTTGCAGGTTGACATTCAGTAGTGTCGTTTCTGATGGCTTAGTGGTAAGTGTTACATTGGAAATCTCTATTGTATTGAAGACATATGCATAGCTACAGGTCTATCGCTGCTATATTATCTGGGGACGCAGATACAGCATCGTGGTGATTCCAATTATAATGCCTGCTGCCACTACAGGTAAATCAGCTCCTATCCAATATGTCACTCCTGCTCACATATCCGACCAGTATGCGCATTCTTGGCAGTATACAACTTCTCCAAGATCCAACCTGGCGAAAGCGTTTTCACCTCCATCATCACCGAGTGGGCCACTGCCCTATTCAGTTTGTCACTTGCAACAAATGTCATCATCACAACCCTCATCGGTGAGTGCTCCGTTCCAGAGCTCAGAGTTTAATGAGTGATTCTGCTAGAATAGCCTCACGCATCTGGGCACTTCGTCGTCAGGCGTCGTCTACCCTAGGTCGCCGACATACAGCAAAATACACGAATGCCATGACTATAATGTATGTCTTCCTCTATCAGGGTGATGTACGGTCCTCACGGGTCAATGCGTTCATCACATAGCATCGAGTCTGGTGCCATTTATTCGGCTTCTGTCATGACTCTGCTCATCCTCTACTGCAGACGAACAAATGCTCAGGTTTGTCAGACTACCTCCCGCAGAATTCGCCTTTCTGACACCAATGATGCTGTGAATAGTACATCATCTATGACACTGTTGCCCAAGTTATGGTTCATGATCCATAGCTCTTCGGGGGTTTTCTGCTCTGATACTCTCTTGCAGGCGATTGTTCCTACTATGATCATCATGAGAGTCGGTCTAGGGATCAGCACAGAGGACGTTGCCACCTATGGCACGCGGATAGTTGTGCATGATCCCGAGGAGGGTCGCCGTACCTTCGCTCTCCCTATGCGGTTCCGTCAGAACCTGGGGACGGACGCTCCAGCTTATGAACTAGACGCGCGTGTGACGCGCAGTAGTATTACGGACAAGGTGCCGGTGCTAGGGCAAGGCTCCTCGCAGTGAAAGGTAACTATACTGAGAGGAGCCTCCCATGGATGAGCGGAACATGGTGCAACTAAAAGTTATGTTCACCTACATGTAAGGGGAGATGTCGCCCTTAGCATGTCGTTGGTTACTAAGTGCAGACTCTCATGTGCCAAATGTCTTAAACATTGGTTGAGTCCCTGGAGATTCATATGTCATTAAATGTGGAACCGAAGTATGTACCACCTCCCGGAAAATTAGCACCTCTCTCATCTGTCCAAATTCTCCCTCGATGCCTCTGACAGTGCTGGAAACGTGACGATCCATGACAGTGCGGCGAGCGCCACCAGAATGGTCACGGCCATTGATCCTAGCATTGATTGCACCGCGGCACATGCCAGTGTGTCCCATACAGATAGAAGCACACCGCGCGGTGTTCTTGCATTTGGCGGCATCCGACATCATCACGGAGAGAAGACTCGACTCTCGCAATCGGAGAAAGCCCATTGTCAGTCTCTGTGGCATCCTCCTGTTCGCATCCGACATGCATTCTGATCGCATTGTGAGACCCCGGGGACTCCTGCGAAGTCCCCTCACCGCATGGGTAGTGACATCAGCGACAGAACTCTATCCCAAAGAAGCAGCGTGAACGTCAAACCGGCCAGAAGCACCGAGAACGAGTGACAGTTCCCTAGTGCAGAACAAATATGGACGGTGAACATCTCGGTCGCCTATCACGCAACAGGCACTTGATGCTTCGCTTCTAACTATCGTCATGCAGCCTGACACACGCAAACTACATAGAGATCTTCAGCGGCCTCTCGGCGTTCACTCTATCTCACTTATTCATCACTCTGATGGGCTGAGGAGTCAACAGCCCCGACCTGTGACACTCTAACGGACTTAAGGCCAATGCGCTGGATGCTCGCCCGCGATACAGATGCCTATATCACATTGATCAAAGGCCCACAGAACGTCTACACAACACATATAGGTCAGAACATCTGCCACAGCGTCCTACTATGACGCTGTTCATACTTGCTTCGGTTATCGCATCTCCAGGTCTATTAGGTGTCATGCTACCTTGTCGGTGTGCCGTGCCGTTCATTCAGCCTTGCTTGACAATATCAGGATCTGATGTAGCTAGAGTCCAGCCCCCGTACATCCGTCCGAAGGACTCGGCGGTGTGGATGTCGTGCAAATCTGACGGTACAATCAGCAACCGACACCCTTGGCGAGAGCTATCTTATCTTGGCCGATTCTTGAGCTTGAGTTTGGCCTTCTTGGATAGGACTTCGTTACAGCGATTGTTCCGATCTACTTCCGCGACACATGTAAGAACGGCTGTGATAGTGATAAGAAGATGTGACTCTGCTGTTTGAACTCCAGAGGGCTCGTGTTTCGTGGGTCGTACTTCTCAGAGACCTGATCGACAACTCGCTGCGTGACTTCAATCAATTTGTTCACAGGAAGGTCATTGGCCGTTCGTAACGAGCCGACGCTCACGAAGGTTTTCGGGGCAAGACGGTGAAGGGTCTCTTTCTGATGTTGACCGTCATGGCGGTTACATGGCAGTTGCCCCGGTCAGCAGCAGAGCGAGTGCCTCTGCGGCAAGGAATACGCCGACGCACACCTTCAATCTTTGCATCCCCCCATTTATTTCTACACTCATGCAAGAGGTGGCTGTCCCCTTGGTGTAGAAGCAGTCGCAGAGTACAATGAGAGATGTACGGTAGTCGTTGACATCGAGAAGCTCAGGTTGGAGTATGCCTGGCCCCTGACGGACGGTTTTTTCGTTCTCCTCGCCAGCAAGATGTACTCATCGTGAGCGATGCTCCACTCAGTAAATACTATCAGGACAGGTCCTCCCAGGACCACTTAGCAAGTGGAGCTCACTAGCGTCTCTTGTCCGTCCTGGCGAGCGAGATGCATGCTTTACACGACACTCCATTTAAGCATACCATCTGTGCTCTACGTAGTCCTGCTTCCGAGACAAAGGCCACCTCAGCATCGGCAAATACTATCTGTGCACTACGTATGAAGAGGATCCTGATACCTTCATACGCGCGTACCAACGGTATCTTCGACCTCGTGCTGGTGAGTGCCTTGTATAGATTCCTGCGCTGATTATCCAACACCGTTCCGCATCGTAACAAAGTATGCTTCTACAAAATTGTATCAGAAGGTGCGCCAATATCGCGGAACAGAGAATACAGATCATATGGATAGTACCGCACGCAGTCCCTGTTCCGGCTATGGCTCTAACGCGAGGGCTTGTTTTCGATCTGGAATCAACATATCACTGTATAGTACCAAGAGTTATCACTTGACCTCTCATCGGCACACTATTGCTTAGGTTTGGATTCTAGGAATCACTATGATATCACAAGTACAGACACGTCAAAGCCGGAAAATACAACATTCGTCATACAAGAGCAGATTGAATACATCCTCCGCCCCCCGACACCGTGAAAATTCAGTAGCAAGTAATAGTGCACCCTATCCCAGCATCAAACAGCCACAGGGTCAACCTTCACAAGCGTGCCCGATGCAGACTCACAATACTTGTCCGGGGAAGATGAGGTACCCGCGAACGACACCATGGCGATAGGGTGGTCCCTTCCCACAATGTCTCTCTCGTCCACATTTGTAATTGAAGAATGGGTGCCAGTACGCCTGGTGAAGCGGAATGCGGGGAATGTCCCAGATCGAGAGCCGGCGCTCGTCATTTGGAGGGTATTCGGGGGGTATGAGCTCTCCACGGACTTTCCCTGGTCGATGCGGATGATGATCAGGTTGAACGAGATGCCCTGGGGAGTAGAAAGAGGTCGTCAGACGTGACACAGCTTCGAGAGTGTAAACATGAATCTTACAATAATCTGGACCACCTAGAAAAGCACGGCGCTTTAGCACACCCGGAATGGGCTTCGCGAATAGGGGAGGACGGTGAACTCACACAATCGGACACGCCGTACTGGGCATTATTGTTGGCGAGATACACGACGAAGAAGACGATGACTCCAACGGAGTACATCAGTCCGGACTCGATGATGATGCGCATGGCACGCCGCAAGCCCTCGGTCCCGCTGGCCACGCTGCTCATGGTGAAGATGGCTCTGGAACGGCGTTCGATCGACCAGATCTTGTACACGATCATCGCTACGTAGGGTTTAGCGTCGCTTTCCCCAGACGAAAATGGGGGAAGCAAAACGTACAAGTGGCGATAAGATTGAGAACGAGGGTGATGGAAAGGGTCGACGTGATGAATGGCGTGAGTTGTCCGGCGTTCAGAAAGGCGTCTGAGTGGAGGGTGAACTCGATGTAACAGGTGAACGCTTCGACGACTGGAGAATGGCACGTTGATTAGCTCGAAGCATGCTTGATCCATAGCTGTTGCTCTTACTCATTCCTGCGATCCATAGGATGCAGAGCGGAACCGGGACTAGCCAGTTCCCACCGTACACGATGTAGCAGCGGTAAATCTATATATACGCGTACATTAAGCTCTGTTCATTTCCCGCAGAATGTAGACGCACCAGCATCCCATCGGCAATGCTAGTCTGGGCCACGTAGTTGACCGTCTTCATGGCGTTGACCCAATAGGATATATCGGAGAATTCGCCGATGGCACCACCGGGACCATGATACCAGACGAAGGCGTCGAGGACATGGCGAAGAAGAAGGGCAACGTCCAGAGTTGCGAAAATGAATAAAAGCAAGGCAACGACCAGAAAGACGGTCCGCTGTCGGTGGCGGGACCGACTCTTGAGGAGCATAGTGTACATACACATCCCGAACGATACGAGATACAATCCTTGGTAACCGATGTCAGTGATAAAGGAGACATTGCAGAGCAATGTATATGACATACCGTAGAACATACTCTCAAGGAAGAGTGCCACGATCTGCGCCACATCGATAGGGAACTTGTCCGCCATGGTAGCAAAGCCTACACGCGAGAAAGCGGTCGGGGGCGCGCGCGTGAACTGGTGTCAGCGTCGCACCTTTCTATCACATTGGCAACAGGCAAAGATCCACGACACCCCCTGAAGGTTCCGTCGAGCACGATTCGTAGCGATGGTGCGTTACTACCGGATGGCAGATGGGGGGTGATCGTTTCTCTGAAAAGACGAAGTGCAATGAAGCGACCATCGCATCAGATCTCTGCGATGTACGATTAAGAGAACTTTGAGTCTTTTCACATGCGGACACGAGAGCTCCATATCCTCCTTATCGCTATCACCTGCTTTCTCATGCGGCGCCACCGGAGTTCACAACAACAGCTGGGTAAACGTCCTGTGTAAAAGGAACACACTGAAGCTCAAGAATTAGCTCAGATGAACATGTGCTCACCCAGGAAGGAGTCAGTCCCTGAAGATATAGCCCGGACGTACACGATGGCACCCGCACGCACCGGGGCTCTCGAACGAGTGTACGGGCGCTGAGGGCTGAACTCTAAACTACGTTATGATGTACAAAGAAGCATGGGGATGCGGCAAGTTTTTCCGATATCTCACCTGTGTGCGTTGTGTAGATGGTTCGTGGACCATTCAACAACTGGGGGCAGTTGTCTAGGTGATACGTGTCTGGGTGGACCGCGGACGGATCAGGGCCCAATTGGTGTACTGTGGGTATTGGTCGTCGCGGTGAGCTTGTCGCTCTTCGTGCACCCAGAGGGGGGAGAATGCCTCACCTGCCACTTGGTGGCCTTGAGGCTGGCTCAGAGCATTGGTTTGTACGTCAGAGTGTGACACGTCGGGGCGGGACACGAGGAAGCCGCGAAATGTCAGGCTGCACGATGACTGTAGGACAGAAACGGAGCGTTAAGCGCCAACGCCAGGCTGCGGACCGTGGTGGCGCTGTCATCACCGGTCGTTGCCCTGACTGCCCTTTGGATTCTGGACCATCACACTTCTTCCTTGTTTCCCGTGCTTTTTGTCTGTATTGAGGACTTCGGATACTCAATGAAGGCCGGGGGTTCCGTCACCCTACACGCCTTCGTGGGAGTCCCCGGGGTCTCACAGTGCGTACAGAATGCATGCGGCAGTGAGTCTGCAGACCCCTTATCGAGTCCTCGAAGTCGACGTCTGACGCTCACGAGCTGCGTGAGTCTGCTTCTCTCCGTGATGAAACCGGATGCCGGCGGTGCT